GATTATATAGAACAAAATTTTGTGTTCTGTTTTAAAATCATGTAATGCAGTTATGTCATTGTATATATACATATACACATATATATGCAGGGTTTTACTGTATACTTAATAATAACCAGATATCAAGGTAGACAGGCATGTTAACATTATGTGAAAGTGAATATGAGAATTTACTGCAAGTCTTCTGGCTTTGCTTGAGTTTGAGGAACTGCTGAATTATGAACGTTCTATATCATAACATTTCTCTTTGAGTAAGAGAACTATCAAAATAAAAGTGTATTATTTACATAGGTGTCAGAGTTACTGCAGCTGATATTCTCAGATAAAACTGGGTCCCAAGTCGTGCTGGACTGTCTTCAAATTTCAGACTGTTATTTGCAAAGTGCAAAAGGGTAATTTCTCAGCTGGAATAAGATGAAGTTGTTAGAATTCAATTTTAAAGGCAAAGGATCAGAGTGGTTTAAAAAAAGCTTTGCATAGCCTCTACCTCAAAGATACTTTCTAAGGCATTCAGCTACCATGGTGATGAATGTGGTATAAATAGAAAATAGGTTAGATAGAATCCAAAATGTTTCCGAGTAAATCTAAATTCACGGTGGCCATTCAGGAAATAGAGGTAGGAAGTAACTGTGCAAAATTTAAGAAAATACACACCAATAGTAAATCTAGAGTGATTTACAGAAAGAGGAAGGTAGGAAGCAGTTGGTAATATCATGGCTGGTAATACAATACCAACAGGAGTATTGGATTCTGATTCTGTTCAACCCTAGCACAGAAAAAGCAGACACAGGAGATGGTTTAGAAACTTGAGAAGCACAGAAAGATTTTTACCTGGGAGACAAAAACCTCTTTTGAACCGACAGGTGCAAGAAATGGCAATGTTTCCCCATGTATCTATGAAGCAAATAAAGGATCCCACAACAGTGGGATACACAACTAGGAAAGACACTCAGAAATAAGTCACCTATTCTGCAAAAAATATGTCTGTCCCCTGTCAGTCAAGCCCTCTTTAACTTGTCTTGTAATGTAAGAGCCCAATATAATTTAAAGACAGCAAGTACTTTTTAGTCTGTTTGCATAAGTTTTCTGCCACAATATATTAAGGTCAACTGGTAGGAATTAAAGCTTGTTTAGGCCTCAATTCACAGACTTATTTAAAGGACATACAGGTTTAGGGACACAGATAATTCTGTTGTTTTCAGTGGAACTATTCATTTGCTTTAAATTGCAGGTGGACTGAAGTACCCTGCTGAAGAATGGTCTTAGAAATAGGCATGTACAGGTCTATGTAGACCTAAAAAAGATACAATAGGTTAATGTGTGCTCTACAGATATGTCTTTGCATTAATAGGTTGCACTCTGTTGCTGCTTTTTGGTTTTGCTTTATTTTGTCTGCAGCCAAGGGGAAAGCTTAACTTCTCCAGCAATTTACTTTCCAGTGATTAAGTAATACTCTGTGATTGCTAGTGTGTGAACACCATTACTTGGTGACCTTTCCTAGTGATTGTATGATGACAACTGTGTAACAGCTGCCCTTAAACTAGCCTCATGTTTGAGATGATCAAGGGATTAAAGACCTGTCTTTCGTGCTGCTACTTTTTGAGCTTCTGAATTGAGTCTTTTTTGTAATCATCATTTCTGCCAGTTAGAAAACAAGTCTTCAATCATGTATTTGTAACCAAGATGTAAGCAATGGTTTTGGCTAGTGGTAGGGTGTAGTTTATCTAACTCAAAAGGAATTCACTGAATATGATCCAATTACAATTCTCCACTACTTACCAAAAATCAAAATTTAATGGAAGAGTGCTCACCAGCCATTTATTTAGAGATTGAAATTTTATATTTGAAAGTAATTTTTAAAAATGCATAGGTGAAATTATTTTGGATGGATTATGATAGCTGGACAGAACAGAAACTTCAGGAGATGTGTGACAGTGCTCACTCACCCTCATGTTACTCTATTCAAGACACTGATGACTTCTCTGTGAGGAAGCAGAGGTGCAGAATGTTCTCACGGCCTCTATGAAGGTGTCCACTAAATAAAGAGTGATGGAATATACCCTTCTAACTATCCCATTAACTAAAATTCACCACGAACATGTGGCCTGCAGGTATGTTGTTTGGGCAACGTAAACCTAAATGCCAGCAGTACAGTTCTTCAACAGATCTTCAGTCTTACCAGTACCACTGAGATAGCCTTGTGCTTTTACAGATCGGCTCAGCAATGAAGAAAAGCCGACTGAAGCTGATCTCAAGCAGGGGAGAGGTTATGTAAACAAACCCTTTTCTGTAGTCTCATTTCTTTGAGGGTATGCAAACACAATTGGTTAACTTGCTAATTAATTTGGTGATGTCCCTGGACTCTGAGCTGTCACTAAACTTTTGCATGCATTTTGCTGAGGAACCCCTGTCTCCTCCTGGCAGATTATGTATGTAACCAAAGCTGGTTTTCCATTACCCCTTCTCTGAAATAGCAACGTGATATATCTGGGAATGACGTTATCAGCTTTGAAGATGCATGATCTAGAACACGATGTGCAGTTCATCTTAATGACACAAAGCTAGCATAAATGCATCAAAAGCACCCTCTTCTTGCACACTGGCTTCTAATAGCTAAGTGCAGGCTCACTTTTTCAAAGTTTTTTGAGTTTCTTGGGGGCTGCTCTGTTACTGTTGAATAAATTTTCATTGGAGTAAAGGGTTATCAAAACTACACCACCTTCTACTTCTTTAGATTACCTTCCTTATTGTAAACATACAGTAGCATCAACACTTTAAGATAAAAATCCTAAAATAAAAAGTAAAAAACCAATCCTCTCCTGCCTACACAGTTTTCCCTTTGAGACTGAAATGAAAGAATGGCAGATACTAGCCACATCAGTTAACACATTCCTGGAAGGCATTTGGATGCTGTGGTGAAAAGGGGTGTAGACAAACCAATGTAAAACAGCATAGCTTCAGTTGTGTAACTCATGGCAGGCTCTACAGACAGCTGCGGAGACCACATATGCTTCTTGGGTGTCCATTTCCCTTTTAGTGTATCTTAAATTTGGCTAACTGTTGTGGCCTATAATGGTGCTGAGAGCGGAAGGACGTAATAATCCCTGTGGGTTTAAAGCATGAAACAACAACAATGGTTGTGTTCTGAAGGAGAGGCCAGGATACCCTCCCAGTGCTGCATGGTAATGGTATTGTAAGAATCTATCATTCACTAAGCTGTATAGATCAGGTGACTATTCCTTCCTCTTCTACTCGAGGAACTAGTTATCATTATTGTCATTTAAATAATCATTAGATACTTGATTTCTGATATATCACCAGGATGAATGAATATTTTCACACTTCTCATTGCTGTAAAACCATCAGCTAATATATGTTACCATAACTTCACAGCACAATTTTTGTTCCAGGTCCTCCATGGACTTGTCTCTGTTACTTAGAGTACAGACAGATGTCCTCTCTAGATCCAGCTGGAACAGCTTAAGATGTTACTGGCCTTTACCCCTCCCCTCCCCTCGCTTCTGCTAACAAAGCAACTTGTTTGAGTACTCCCTAACCCACTTCAGGCACAATCCAATTTAAACTGTTTAAACTATCTCAGCTGATTCTGCTTGAAGTGGGTTAGGGAGCACTCACACAAACATCTGGGAGAGCTACAGGGGTAGTAATCAATGCCCAGGGGACCCTGATGAACAGCTTGAGAAGAGAAGGGCAGGGCACAAATGTTTCAAACCTCTGCAGCTGTTTGCAAATGGAATGCCTTTACAGAGCCTGTATGTGAGCTATGGTAATACCCCTGTTTCCAGATGAGGTGCTCTCAGCTGTAACAGCTAGTGATGTCTTAAAAAAAGAAAAAAAAAGAAAAAAAAAAGTTGTGAATTATAAATGATAAGAAAGTTTACAGTGATGTGCCCATATAGCATATGAGCAGATATTCTCTGAGCCCAGCACAGCATATTGTGCAACAGCATGGGAGAGGGGAAATTTTGGCCAGGAAAGTCAAAGCATATTCTTTATTTTATCTGTTGGATGCTAAAGCAGTGACTTTCATGTGCCATTTTGATTTGACTGGCCTGAAGAGCAGGGCAGACAATTTCTATCAAGCTTCAATCCCCTGTCCTGGAGCCTACTTATTAGAGTCTGAGTGTTAGTTGTTTCAACCCACAGATAAGGGAGCCCTTCCAACAAACAAATTGGGCTGCCTTCCACCACACTCTGTATCTTCCAGAATCTCTGAGGGGAACATAGTGAACAAATATGTTGATCGAGTGTGCTCAGTTTGTGGTAAATGACTGAACAACCCCCTCAGGACATATGCCCAGTCTATAGCCATCACACCAACGTTGGGGCTGAGGACCAGAGGATACATCTCGTTAATTTGCTTATACAGGCCCTTAGTCTGCATGAGCTTCTGGTGTAGTGATGCAGAGCTGGGAGAGGGTGATAGAAAACTACACCCTCATGGGAAACACTTTGTTCTCGCGGTTCATGCTTGGGCCGTCATCTGAAGGGTCTATTTCTGGCATTACCACGCACTCACAATCTGACCAGGGTTGAGTCACATATGAGACATCATTAGCCTGTATGTAAATTAGGTATCAACAACTTTGCAGGTGATGTTTGTTGCAGCCTATTTCCGCCCCCCAAGTGCTTTAAGCATAATAATGTGTTGTATTCTGGGCCTGTTTATGTCCAATCTGGAGCATTTGTGGGCTGCAACGTGGCCACCTGCACCCAGAGAAACACAGCTTTGTATTTTTTACAATTGACTGGTTTGATGTTGGTGCTTTTCCCTGGGGCAAACCCCACATTCACTGAAACACGAACTGTGAGGCAGGTCTTGCTCTGAAGGGCTACAGCACCTGCAGCACTTGCTGGGGGGTGCTGAACCCTTTCTTTCCTCCCCCCCCACCGTATCCTTTGTGGTCATACGTGGCCTGAAAGGAGCTTTTAAGCTGATATAAATCCATTTTGGCTAGTGTATTCCTGCTGGGGCCAGCCCTGGCTGACAGGCCTCAAGGCACCCGCCTGGATGAAGGCACTCCCTTCAGAAAGAAGGAAGGCACATACACCACCAAGCCCAAAACAAGATAACGACCCCGCTGCCACGCACGGCCTTCCGACCAGCTTCTCCACCCATCCCCAGAGCCCACGACAGCGGGCCGGGACCGCCCGCACCCACCCCGCGCTGCCCTGACTCAAGATGGCGGCTCGGGGGCGGGCGGGCGGCGCATGCGCCCCGGGGGCGGCGCTGACAGGCGGCTGCATGGTGCCCGCCGCCCCGCCGCCGCCGATGCGCTGAGGCCGCGCCGCGCCGGGCTGGGGGAGCCGGCGGCGGCCTGGGGGGTGGCGGCATTGGGCCCGCGTTGCCGGCTCCCCAGCTATGGCGAGCTACCTGCCCCCCTGCGTGATAGACGGAGGCACCGGGTGAGTGCGGGGAGGGTGGTGGGGGGGGTGCAGCGGCGGTGCCGGTCCCTCTTTCTGGGGAGTGTGTGTGTGGGGGGGTGTCGGGTGTCTCCGCCGTGCCGGCGCCCCTCAGCCGCTTCCCGCTGCCTCAGCGGGGAGTCCCTTCCCCTCTCACGGGTCCCGGCTCCTGCCGTGTGTGCCGGTCCCCTCACGGCCCTGGGGCACAGGGTGTCCTTCCCCTCCGGGCCTCTTGGCCGCTGGGGCGGCTGCTGCTGCCCATCGCCCTCCACCGAGTGTCCTCCTCCTCCTCCTCCCGCCCTTCCTTCTCGTTGGGAGCTCGGAGCAGGGTAGTCCTGCTGTGCCCCGGGCAGGCCGTGTGCCTCCGGAGATGGTGTGTTTCTACATGCCCTTTTCTCCTCTTGGATCCAATTTTTGTTCATCTTCTCTGACTTTATCGTATGATTAAAATGCTGAAATTGGGGATGGCTTGTTTCAAGTGACTGCCTGGAGAAAGGGGACATGTTTGCTTTGCCTGGGAGCTGTGAACTGGTACTGACTGGGGTCCAGAGAAAGGTGAGGTGTGTTTGCTGGGCTATGGTTTCCCCTTCATGCACAGTGCTGGGACCGCAGTGCAATCTGCCAGATTGCATCTGGCTGTGCCTCTAGACAGCATGTGCTACATCTTGAACCTTTCCAGGTATTACCTCCAGCCAGCAATGGGATGGGAGGTGGCTGTCTTGTACTAGTGGTATTTCTTGGTCCTTAGGTCATCCCTTCTTCGCTTTTGTCAAATCAGTGTGAGATTTATTCTACGTTTAGCCAAGCCACAAGTTCTGTAACTCAAGTCTTTTGAGGATTAAAACGAACCAAAATTGGAGAGGCTGTCCTCAGGAGGTGTTTCAGGAACAGGTCTTTCCTACCCGTCTGTGGCTAGAGAAGACCCATTCATCATCTGATAGACCAGTTCTGCTGTGCCTCAGGAGTGGAAGGTGTCAGAGCTGTAATAAAGATGATGATGAATATGTGGTGTGCTTTTACTAATATCTTTCCTTTGGCCCAAGTTATGGACAGCTCTGAGGAGGAGAGGAGACACTAGTCCATGTGCAACTATTCAGCCAGTAACTTTACTTGTCAGACTCTGCCTCAGTGTCATAGATTGCATGAATTTATTTCAATAATAGAATTTTCTTCTGTGGGGAGTTTGCAGCATTATTTTAATTTCTTTAATGCTTGAAATGTTACCTTTAAAATTTCTAAAACTGAGCCAACTGAAAAAAAACAAATACAAAACCAAACCAACCAAACAAGAAATCCAACCCCCTAGATAGCCAGAAGAAGCACTTTCCAAAGATGTGGTGTCACACTGCCTTCTCCTTAAAAAGTGTTTCATGTTTTGAAATTAGTCTGTATTAAACGGTCACAGAACTTTTAGAGGTCTCTTGTCCTGTTTCTGTTACTTTATCCTATGAGAAATCAGCTCTATCCCCTCAGTGGGTAATACTGGAGCCCACAGCTGGAAACTGGGAGTAGAATAGAGACTGGGTTCCATCTTGCATGGAATTCTGCCTGTGTATTACATGTTCTTTGGTAGTTTCCCAGGTGCCTTCTATTTATTTGCTCAAGATATTTTAAATATCTGTTCTCCCGAGAACTATTGGTGTTATAGGTATATTACTTGACAGTTTTGAAGAGTTTATCAAGGAGAGAAATGAGAACTCTAGGTGGATTCTTTAAAAAGGCTACAGTATGAACTACAAAATCCAGAAAATGCACTAAGTGCAATGTGTGTCCTTTGCAGAAGACCTCCTTTTTCTCTCAGTTTGTCGAGTGATTTGAGTGTTGCACCAGCAGTAGATATTGCTGACCAACAGTTGTACAAAATAAATAAGGATAGAAAACGTGTTCTTTCAGAGAAATAACAATTTAAGTAGAATTTCTAAAATCTATGCTCACATGGGAAAAACTGGTGAAGTTGGTGTGTGAGGTTGTGTATACCAGTTTGTTTCAGGAAGTATTCGGATAGTTCCCAAATGATGTGACTTTGCATTTCCATGCCTCCAAATGATCTTAATTAATATGAGACAATGTGGTGTCTCTGCTGATGGGTCTTTTGCTTGGCTTTGCTGCAGGGCACTGAAATGTGAAATACTTTTCAGCAATGAGACTATTGAATTTAAAATAAATTATTTTGCAGAATTCAAGAAGAATTAAGAGTCTGAACCAAAGCAGCCAGAAGTAGTTTGACTCATTGATGCGCAGTTTCTGGAATTTTCCTCTGTGTGGGCTGAAAACCTTCTTATTGTTAGAATAAATCTACTCTGGGTTACAAGCTTCAAACAATTCATTCAAATTATTCATGAAAGGGCTTTCAGATTAAAAACTTGGAAAAGCATAGGGGAAAGGAAAAGGTATATGCAGACATGCACTGTGGAACATTATGTATATAAAGGACTCTTTTTGACTTGCATCTCAGATACTGAGTGAAGTGCTTTGTCCAGGCACTAATCCTTCTTCTTTTCATGTAAGGGGACTTAAGAAGTTTGTGAAAAGACACTTTTTTTTTGTTGTTTTATGTGTAAGGAGCCTGGTTTAATTTACCGTTGTTTGCAGCCATAGGCCTTAGTCCTGGAAAACACTGGAATTTCTCAAAAAAAATGGAACTAGTCTATAGAAAATAGGTACAGACACTCAGCAGAAAACATACCAGGACATGATAACATTCTTCTTCTCTATTGGCTAGATGACTTGAACTTTTTTTGTCATAAACGGTTCACTCTTTATTCATAGATTTGGCAGAAAATGGCAATAATTTGCCATAATATTTTACATTACTATTTGAAAATGATATATTCTACTTCAGTTTTGAAGCACTACATCTTCATTTTCTTTTCATGAGGTTTTCCATGTGATCAGTTTACGCATTGCTATCGGTCTTTTTGTGGAGAAGGGCATTCTATTTTTAGTTTCCTAGGAGTACCAGGCCTTTTTGGTGTTGCTGTTTTAAGTAGCTTTAAACTTCATAACTGGTTTTATTAACTGGCATTTAGCTGTGGGACATCAAAAAGCTAGTAGGTGGGTGTGCGAAACAAAGATGTCTTAAAATATCTCTCTCTTCAGCGTGTGTATTTGCAGACACTGAGGAATACTTCTATTTTGGGTGTATTTTATTGAAGTCGCTCCATTTTCCTTTTAGTAAAGTAGAATTATTTCTGCAAAGTCTTACTGATGAGCTTAAATACTTGATTTCTGGGAGAAGTGAGCTGGACTTGTATTAAAACTTAGGGTGTTTCTTGTTGCTGATCTATTAAAGATAGCTGGAGCCTCAGTGTGCGCTATATTTTTTCCACCTCTTACTGTATGTCTGATGCTAAATGGATGGTTTTAGCCAGGTATTACCTATGCTCTTTACACGTGTGAATTGTGAACAGGCATTATTGTAGTTGCTGTTCTGGGTCTAAGGAGACTGGGCTAATTTAACTGTTGTTTATAATCACAGGCTTCAGTCCTGTAAAGTGCTACACTCTCAAAAAGAGCAATAGCTCTAAGGTACGCTTTATTCCTATAGTGGCTGCTGGTGTTCTTAGGTAAATTGGGCAGACGTAACAGTTTTTTTTTTTTTTGTTTGATATTTCTTCCTTCATCCTTTCTTTCTTCATTTCCATTCCTTCAATCACATCCTCTTTCATTTAAAATGTACCTTTCCACATCTTTATGAAGAACTTGTGTTGTGAGTTTCTCAGGCATATTTGTAATAATGATAATACAGTCTGTTTGTGGCAGCATGGCATCACAGGTGTTCTGGCAGTAATAACTTAGTTATTTAGCATCTTGGCTGTCAGAGTAAGTGTTCTCTTTCGAGAGGTTGTTTTTTGTTTGTTTACAGGACTTTCTTAAAGCATTTTGCTGTTTCCAGTCACTTCATATGTATCTTTTCAGAGCTTTTTTTGTGGATGTAAACACATTGTTTTAAACATCTGGACCAAAAAGCAATAGAAATTGAGGAAATGGCAAAATGTTCACACGTGAGCTTTGACCTTTTGAATACTTGTCAAGAGAAAAAGTTGGATGTCATGTATTTTGTGATGGATAAAGCAACTGCCTGAGTTTGTGATTTGTATATGCCTAAATTCTGTTGTACTCATGCTTTAGTAAGAATTTTCCAAAATACACCCCTGCTATTTAAAATAGTTGAGATTGCAGTATCTGCTTCCAAGTTCAGTCTATTTGTACATCTCTGCAGTAATTTTTCTACGTGGGATTTTCTGTTTTTTTCATGGTAGGACCTCAGAAAAGAAGGGGTTTAGGACTTACCACTCCTCAAGCAAAAGCTAGTGAAACTGATTTGTTTACTAATCACCTGGGGAAAACAGGATGTAGTAGGGAATTATCTTTATTTTTAGAAACTGCTGTTTCAACAATATATAATTTTCAGATGATTTTTTTTTTTTTAAATGAGTAGTCCTTTCAAATCCCCTTGCATAAAATAGCCTTAGTCTATTGGATCAGTTTTCTACTAATCTTTAATGCAGTCTCTAGTATCCTGTATTTTGGAGAGTTTCCAGTAGGTTCCTATCTCACTGGCAATAAATCTGTTACTTTTAATGAAATTAAGTTGGAATACTGATTATCTACATGTTCCCTACAGCTGTCTCTGTAATTTATAGATCACAAGACGTTGCATTACCATTAGCCTGCTAGGCTGTAACCCAGGAGAAAGAAAATAATGTTTTAGATGCTTAAATATTCATTGGAGAAGGGACCGGAGACCAGGTAACCTCTCTAACTGTTTAAGTCCAGAGCCTTTCAGGTCAATGAATATTTAAATATCTTGTGTAAAAGGGAACAGTCTCTATAGGAGGTCCTGGAAATGGCTCACCCAAACACTTTAATGTACTCTTGGGTACGGCTCTGGAAAGTGGCATGTCTTTGGGTCCTGGTGGGCAGAAAAAAAATCTGGGACCAAGACTGCCATGTCCAGAGTGAATAGGCTACTGGATAACAAAGGGCAGCACAGCTGCATCATCTTTTTCCTTCTCTTCCTCAGTGGTTTTGAGAGTAGTTTGAGTTTCCCTTCCATCTGTTTTTGTCAAAACACCTGAAATAATGTCTGCTTGTTCAGGTCTGTCTCTTGTTTGATCCTAAACAGATTATTTTTTTTTTGAATAGCATTTTTTTCCCCACTTCCTTGCTTCAACATTCAGCTAAGAATTTAGTTATTCTCATAGTTCTAGTATGGATTAACAGCATGCAAAAGCAATCTTTCCAGATGTTACCTTCTGTGAGATGTGTTCTATGAAGAGAACTATCTATCATTGATCCTGAGAAATAAGCTTATCCCGTAGTTTTAACTGGGGTTAATTCAGCTAGTGAAAAAATAAATCGGCAAAATATTTGACCTATAGACCTTTGGTAACTTCTTAAGTTATTCTAATAGGGAGATCTGATCCCTACTTGAGAGGTAGGGTAAAGCTATTGCAGACTGATAGTCCAGATTGACTTTTAAAGAGTGTTTTCTTTTTGATACTGTGAGTGGGTGTGAGTTTAGCATGTGTGTAGAGGGGGAAAAGATGGTAAACTGAATTTACCTCTCAGCCAGAGTTTAGTTTAAGAAATGAGTTCTGTTTATATCACAGGAACCTTTAAATTTTTTAATATATGTATATGCACACATATATATAAAAATGGCATACAAAAAATATATATACATATTTACATGCTTAGGTATAAGTGTATATATGTATGTATTGACCGTTTCTGCCTGATTGCCATTTCTAGTCTTAGAACTAGGTCCTTGCTATGTGCATTTGAGCAAAACCCATTTTAGAGAGAGAACCAAAGAGGAAGTATCTTGTAGTGCATCTTAAATCCAAGTGTAACACCTGTTGTTGCTTGTTATATTTTAACAAAATTACCCAAGTAGGCCTTATTCTAAAATGTGAGGAAACTATGCAATAATAATAATAAAAAGAATTCTTACTAGTGATGACCTTCTTTACAAATCAGTCTAATGCCCTGATTATATTTTTTGGCAGCCACAGAATGTATGCATAAACATTTTGGATTACACTGGAAGCATATGCCCATATAAAGATCATTAAAAATACAACAAACTCTTGCCCCCAAAACACAGGCCTTGTCTTTTTAGCCTAGGGGAAGAAGACTTTTTAAACTATTATTTGAAGTCTATTGGAGCTATGGCTTTGAAGAGATGATGAAAATATAGTGTTCAAATTCCAAGGTCATTGCTAATTCAGTTTTGATTTAATTCCTTTATCTAAGCAAACTGACTCTTAATGAGTGTTTTTCTACCAAACACTCCATAAAGGGAAACTTACTGTTTAAGCTGTTAATGAAGAAGCAACCCTCTGCTTTAGCAGTGGCATAATATTGTTTGCAAATATTGAGAGTAAGCTGTAGACAAAGATCCTAAATTCAGTTTAGGACATAGGTTATGATTGGTTCCATTTAAGAATGTCAAGGGCTTAGGTTTTCATGGTAAAAATGGATGTGAATAATGCTAATTTGCCTCAAATCATGCTATTGTACTTCTATTCCAGTCTAATGACAATATTAGAGGAAGACTTCAGTCTCTGCAACAGTTCAGTTAGTTTTGTTGGATTTTTTTTCTGTTTTTTTTTTTTTTTTTTTGGAAACTGTTTCTGAATTATTTAAATTTTCCTATAGGATTTAGAGCTGGTTTTCACAGTCTAGGATGTTAATTACTTCTAGTTGCTAAAGACCTGAACTAGCCAGTAACACTGCAGAGATTTTAGTTTTTGTGTGAAAATTCCTTTTATTTCCCTCCCTAAGTTACCAGTTCCTTTTTTCTCTTGATCATTTACTTGTTAAAATAGATATTATATGTATATTGGAAGAGATGGATGATGCTTCATACCATCTGCTGCCCATTTCTAAAGCATTTTATCAGTGTATGCTTACTTTAGCATAGTGTGTATATATTACCACACACAGATAGTATACCTGTGACAGAGTGCTTTGCTTAAAGCACGAATGGGTTTTGTATCAGGATTGCAACTAGAGTGCTGAACTGTGGTTTGTACTTAAGATATGTGATTTTTTTTTCATATGTGTGTTTGAAAATATTAAACAAATATGCAAAGTCTAATGACATCTTTGGTCATGGTAGCTTTCTGAAAGTACCATCTGCACAGCCCTTGTTTTACCAAAGGGTAGAATGTGGCACCTCTATCTTGTCATCATAGCTAGTCAACAAGATGGAGAAAGTAGGAGCCGAGTTTTCAGATTCCATAGTTCAGAAACAACACTACCAAAATTTGTAAGCTGAAGGTGTCTGAAAAATAAATAACACCTAAATTATTTACCACTTCTGAGTTTTCTTGTCAGCAGGATGATACTTGAAAGCATAACCCAGAAAATATAGATGTTGTATGCAATTGTTGGCCTTCACTTTAAAAAGTGTAGTGAATTGAAAATTTTTTTTTTTTTTTTTTTTTTTTTTACATCTAAGTGCATCTAATGACCTTGTGATCATTCTTTTTGTAGGTATACAAAACTTGGCTATGCAGGAAATACAGAACCTCAGTTCATTATCCCATCATGTGAGTAATTTTTTTGTCCATCCAAATTCTAATACGGCTATCACTGAGCAGTTTCATGAGTAAATGGCGTGCTTTCCAACTCCCAACTCAGCCTTCATAGTCTCTTGTCCATCTGGGAAGTGATAGTCATTGCGTTAGCATCTTTGGCTAGAGTGTAGCTAAACAGAACTCCTTGTTTGCAGTTAGCTGGGACTGTTGCTCATTAAATCAGCTCTAGGTTGCTATGACAAAGATGAAGAGAACTCCAGTCCAATTTCCTTTTTATCTCCATTATTTTTCTGCCAGGACTCTTGAGCAGACAGAATGCAATTTACCTCCTGTCTACCTGACACCATGGTTACTGCCTGGATAATCTGGGGAAGGCTTCCAATCGAATTAAGTACTAAAGTGCAGGTGGTGTCTGCCTGATTTACATTGTCTGGGACTGTAGACAATTTATTATTGAAAAAAGTTGTTCCTATTAGAAAATGTTCTTTTTGGGTGTGTGTTTACCAATTAAAATGGTTTTACCCATTTAACATGCTTTTGTTGAGCAGATTTATTCTTAGTTTTTTTTGTATGTTAAACTTGTTTAAAACATACCTTTCTGGTGTTCTTGTTTTTAATTGTTGTCTTAATAGTTTATCTCAAACGTGATATCTATTTATAAATAGTGTCACTGACTATGTATTTATGTCTGTAATGATAACCGTTATCTCATGGTTATTTCCGCTTATGTTAAAGATTGCCTTTTACTTTTTGTGGCCTTCATCAATTAATTACTTATTAATACATCTGGGCTGTCTTGTAGCTACTCACAGTGGAAGGTATAAAAATAAGGAAATAATAAAGGTAAGCAGGAGCCAAAGAGGTGGACACCCCCCGCCCTGAGGGGGACATGCTCTTTACCAGGTGTAGCTGCAGTACTGGTTATAGTCTTACTATTTTAAGTATTGTAAAAAATTCAAATCTAAACCACTGGTAAAGATTTAAATGTCTTATGTTAAAGAAGTGGGATAGCAGGAGTTTCCTGTGAATTTGTTATAAACCCTGTGTTATAAAACTATAAAGTTATTGGGGCTTAGGTGTGTTTCCAAAACAATTGTTTGCCTGTCAGTTTTTGGTGCTGATACTACTTGGCACATTTGTGGATGATGCATGGCTACTCTGCGTTTTCTACTGTATGTTGTTTAGATCCTGATTATGACCTATTAAAAGAAAACTGTATATAAATAAGGTTGTGTTTTAAGAGTACTTTATTCCATTTTTATTTATAGCTTGCCCCAGATTTGATTTTTTTGCTGTCTCATCTTCTTGCCTATAGCAGTCATCATCTAGTAATTTTAGTGATAGTTGCGGCCTGCTAATGGGAAGTGTGTCTCCAAAGATTCTGCTGTAGCACTGCAAATTGATTTCTCCCCTCCCCCTTCCTCCTCCTCACCACCTGGGATAATTACTCCAATAGTTATTTCAGAGGTAGATAGTTTATTTTCTTCTCTTCCTGTTCTCTCTCTCTTAATTCTAGAATTGAAACTCAGAAAATCATGTTTCTTACTGGCTTAAAGAGTATCTCCAGTGGAATGCTGCACTTGCATAGGTTTAGTGGCTGCTGTAGTCTGTAACAATACATTTTTAAGATTTCCTGTGAGTTATTATTTACATTAATGAGGGATGAGTGACCAAAATCCTGCGTGATGCAGTGAGAATGAACTCTGCTATATTGGCTTGCCAATAGATCGCCTATGTAATTTCTACTTTCTTGAAACTGTTTTCTGTATCCCAGTTTTTATTTCTGGAAAGGAATCCTTAAGGAAATAAATATTGATTACTTGGTATTTAACTGTTTTCATTTTGTTTTGATTTGTTTGGGTTTTATTTTAAGGTATTGCAATCCGAGAATCAGCGAAAGTAGGTGACCAGGCTCAGAGGAGGGTGATGAAAGGTGTTGATGATCTGGACTTTTTCATAGGAGATGAAGCCATAGATAAACCTACCTATGCTACAAAGGTAAGCATTGAGTATTTTTAAGAAGTGTTTCCAAAATTTCACATTTTTATTATATAATGTTCTAGGACTTTTTGACAGTCATTTAAAATACATTTGCTTTTTTGTGAAGTATTTTTGTTGCTGTTCACAAACTGCATGGTTTAGTTCCTGGCTTTATCTTTTTTTAAAAGTGTGTTTTATTAGTGCTGTCCGGCATGATTGGTGCTTGAACCCTTGAGTAAATATCCATTGATACAGTGCAGCTGTTCAGTTTTCAAAATTATTAGCTATTAAAATAATCATAAACACTGAATATTTAAATTCTTGCTAAAAGTGTATCATCTTAACATGGCATATGAACTGGGGAATGCATTGGATACTTTTGCTTCAGGGAATGTCACAATTGTTTTGTGGAGGGCTGTCTTCAATGCAGCTTTTCTGTGAATCATATTTTCCATACCCTAGTAAAGGACTGCTTGTACTTACAAAATGTTACTGGCTTATGAATTATGTGGAAAAAAATCATATTTTATACATCCTACTGTATTACTTAAATGTCAGCTGTGTTCTTAACATTGAACAAAATGTAAACATAATCCCTGCCAGAATTTTTGTTGAAAAATATATAGCCTATATGGTCTTTATTTCTTTTTATAGATTGGAAAGCATATTGAAGCCAAGTATGATTCTCAACTTTATAAATGATAAAATTTGTAGAAAGATTAAAACACAGTGCCACAATAGAGTAATAGCAGTATTAGGAATAGAATCTGGCTTCTGGCTTCTAGTCCTGAAAGATAGAATTATGTTTTGAAATACCTGGGAGCAGGAGATAACTTCAAATAGTGCCTTTAAATTAAAATTAGAATGGAGGATTTCATCACATAATCGTGAGATGAGATGTTTTCATTCTTGCAAAAGATGGAGGGGTTTGGGGACTTAAACTGTTCCTATTTCTGGGTTTGTTTATCCTTGGTATGGTCTAGAGTGTTCACAAGTTTTCTTGCTTCAGTGGCCTATACGACATGGTATTGTTGAAGACTGGGACCTCATGGAGAGATTCATGGAGCAGGTCATTTTTAAATACTTACGAGCTGAACCTGAAGATCACTATTTTTTAATGGTGAGTTAATGAGACTGGGTAAGAAAATATTTTTGTAAGAGGAAAACTAAGTAATGTTCCAAGCAAAAGTAGCTCTGTTGAAGGATTTTTCTCTCTATATGTCTTTTATTTCTTCAGCAACCACGGTGGGGGGTGGGAGGAGAGGGAAGAAGAAAGTAATTCATAAAGCTGCATTATAACTAAATTCTGTTCATTCTGTGATGCATGCTACTGCAGGTTGGATTTTGTTTTTTAAAAGCTTCAATCACTGTTTAAGTTCTGTTTGAAATTTTTTATTTTGAGTGCATTGAGGATTTTAAAAGTTTGTTTACCATACCAAGCTAATCAATGCATGAACTGTTAGGACTCTCTTGAGGTGCTTTTTCAAAACTCTTCTTTTTTTGCAGACAGAGCCTCCGTTGAACACACCCGAAAACAGAGAGTATCTTGCAGAAATCATGTTCGAATCTTTTAACATACCAGGACTCTACATTGCTGTTCAGGTGAACAAAGTGAATATATACTTCTAAAGTATAGTATAGCTGCAGTGTGTATAGTTGTCTTTATGCACATGTCTAAAATGTTTGAAATAGATTTTTCTGAGATTGTAAATTAGCACACTCTGCCTGCTTCTAAATGTAAACTCTTTCTCATGTAGGCAGTGTTGGCCTTAGCTGCCTCTTGGACATCACGGCAGGTTGGAGAACGTACTTTGACTGGAATTGTCATCGATAGTGGTGATGGAGTGACCCATGTAATTCCTGTGGTATGTAGCAGGATGCAATTTGAAGTTATCAGTGGTTTGGACAAGTACAGGATTTGTTTGCTATAGATTTAAAAAAGAAGTGTCAAATTAAACTTTATTTTAAAATTTGTAGTGCTGCTTGGTTATTTGGGATTTTTTCTTCCCTTATGATTGTTTAGAAAAGTATGTATTTTATTATGTGAACTTACTTATGAAATTAATTTAGCACACAGACTATAGTAAGGTCACAGTAAGGAATCGTCAGGCCATCTTTTAAAGGCTATTTCTATGTAAAACCTTGTCTTCCATTACTGTGATGCCTCAGTTCTGTTTAATGTTAACGCTTATCATGGTTTTAGATCTCCTGCATACCACCAATGTCTGACAAGAAATGCCCTGACTTTGATGTCTTGTGTTTTGATTGTTTAATGTAGCTGATAATGTGTGCTTTTTATATTATTGTATTGCATTTTTAAAGTTAGTGAACTCTGCTTGTGTGGAAACAACTACAAACTTGTGTAAATGCATGTTCATATAAATGATTGATCTCATACAGCTTAATTATGTTAGGATGTTAAAAATATAGAATTGTCTGGGCATGCTGACTTCTGTTGATGTCATTTCATATATTTCTGAAGCATATAGTATGCTTGAATGATCAGTTACTTTAGAAATGAAAATTATTCTCTTTAACTTCATCTTGCATTCTGGTATTAACCTGGTCTTCTCAGTATTTTCTTCATATGGAAAATGCTGGGAAAAAACAGCATTTACCATCTGAAATTCTGAAAAGCTTAAAAAAAGCAAGGGAAGAATGTAATGTTGGCTCAGTAATACCAGTGTTTTCAGTAAATACATCCTGAAAAAAATTCAGCAGAGAGATGTCTGCTTTTGTTGTTTATACTACTCTAATTTGATTTTTCTTGTCTGAGTATTTTAATAAATTTTATACTTTTTCCTATTATTTTTTCACTCTCAAACAGGACACGAGTGGTCTATTTATTTCACGCTTGCTTTTCAGATCATGCCTAAAAGGAACCATCTGATCAGATTGTGTCCTAATGTGTACAAGATTTTTTTGTCAATCACTTGTATATCTATTAGACAACCAATATCTGTTTGTGTGGTAATTGAGGTCTTTTAAATAAAAATAATATCCACTCTGCAGTGGATTGCACATTTTTATAGTAATTTTGCAGTTTCAAGATTTTACTTGAATTAAAAATCAGAACAATGTATTATAAAAATGAGTGTTAGTTTTGCTGTTAATTATTGATACACAGTAGGTTTTTGCTGAATATTTTTTTTTTCCTCTCCTCCTACATAGGCAGAAGGCTATGTAATTGGAAGTTGCATCAAACATATTCCTATTGCAGGTAGAGATATTACTTACTTCATTCAACAGCTCCTAAGGGAAAGGGAGGTGGGAATTCCTCCTGAACAATCTCTGGAGACAGCAAAAGCCATAAAGGTACACCCTTCTTTATATCTTCTTAAATACGTAAATAAAACTCTTTGAGCTGATTTTTTGGCTTTAGCAAGTTGCCAGTGGCTCTCTTAAAAATGCAAATGTAGGCAGTGTATTGTAATTACTCAAGCTTCTGGTGGTTTATCCAATCAAGTGCGGGGGAAGGAGAAAGAGGAAGAAAATCTTAATGCTAGACTGTTTGGAGTGACTATGTTCTGGAGATTAAATTAGCATTTTAAACTGCAGATTTGTTTAAAATTTGCTTTTTAATTTAATAAAAAATAAATGAATGCAATATCAGTACGGTGATTGTGGGGGTCTGATCTTGCAATGAAAGCTTGCCATTGAACTCTATCATCACAGACCTAATGGTTGTGATGTTTTCATTTTGAGAGGCACCAATCTATGTGCGTCAATGTGCAATCTTACTGAAACAAATAGGCCACGTGCATTGTCTTGTAGGGCTGAGTCTTCAGTAGTCGTTTCGGTGAGAACATCTATTGAACAGCCCCATATGTAAGAATGCTCACGTATTCTTGTTTTCTGATTGTGTTATACTGTAATTCAATGATGGAATAATAATTCTGGCAATTTTTAAAGCGTGGTATCTCTTAACAGGAGAAATACTGTTACATTTGCCCTGACATAGTGAAAGAATTTGCCAAGTACGATGGAGATCCTCGAAAATGGATCAAACAGTATACTGGCATCAATGCAATCAACAAAACCAAGTTTGTTATAGACGTTGGTTATGAAAGGTTCCTTGGACCTGAAATTTTCTTTCATCCTGAGGTAAGAATAGGGACTAGCGATATGGGAGTTACAGAAACTTTATTGGGTGGGGGGGGGTGGGGGAGGGAGGTACTGTCATCTTTGGTGCCAGTGCGCCATCACGTGGAAGGAAGATACCAGTAAGTTTCTGAACTGGAAGCCATGGACAGCCTCTAATAACCAGCACAGAAAAACGTGAGCACAGCAGATAAATATTTTTCTAGTGTCCCGTATAATGTTTAAAACATTTTATTCTGTTTCTTTAAAGACAATCTAAAATTGAGGAGGAATTGTTTGAACTTGCAGATTTTTATATAGTATTTTCCTTCGTTCCTTCAGCATTGGTTTAAACCAGTATGTCTTTATACTGTGTATTTGATTATGGTGCTAATCTCTCTGGGCACTACTCTGGTAGCATTGCATTGATAGAATTCTAAATATTGGACACTGACTCTTGATACTGAATCAATTTATAAAGCATAGATGCTAAATTTGTCTTTGAGGGAAGTCCATTGAAATCTCTGTTGGTGTGGTCATAAGTAACATGTACAATTCTGGGAAACATTACAATACCTAGTCTGTCTGGTTTTTGGTAGTTTAGTTTGAGTGAGCTTCAGGATATTGTGGGAGAGGAAAGGGTCAAGTTTTAATATGTTACAGCATAGCAGAGAAGGTCCCCTCCATTCCTACGCACTCCACTTTATTGCAGGCGCCCATAACCTGCAATGCTGTTAAAAAATTGAATCAAGATGCACATTAACACTGGTGAAGTTTCCCTTTGTTTATCCTCCTGCTACTGGAAGAATATTAAAAATCCTCATTCTCTCCTATGTTGTCTAAATTCCAACCTTAATCTCTTTGTGGTCAGTTTGTGGCCATCTGATCTTGTGCCAACATTAAACCTCTGGACTAGATAGTTTCTCCTCCCTGCTGTTTACCCATGTGATCTTACAGAGAGATGTTGAATTCCATGTCAGACATCATTTTAATAGCTCCTCTTTCCATAGTCCCTGCAAAGACTGTTAGGAACAGGATAAAGGACTAATTTCCATTTTCTTCATTTCTTGATAGTTTCTTGGCTCTGTATTGAAAAAAAAAAAAGTGAACTGACTTTCTAGACAAGAAAAACACACTAGATGATACGAACTGCATCCAAAGAGAATTTCTCGCTGGACTTCATTAACTCCTCACTTCAAAGTGTGTCAAGTTAGCTAGGTAAAAGCTGCCTTTGGTAAAGCTGTCTTGTAATCTTTTCCTCTTTTCAGTTTACAAAATTTATTCTGAAGTCTTTAATACTCTTGAAGTTAGGCTTTGGGGCTTGTAGTCATCCAGATTGTTTCTCTGCTTTGTCAATTAGGTATTTCACTTGCTGGTTTCCAACCATATGGTATTTGCTAGCAGACTGCAATTTCACATGTCACTTCTCTTGTCCCCATTCTGGGAGCATGTTATACTCTGCTTTGGATGCCATAACTCTCATTTCTACTTATTCCTTTTGCCCTGCTATTTTATCAATATCTTTCTGGAGAGCTCATGTGAAATTTTCAGACTGTAGTTTATTAAGATGAGAACTCTCCATGTTCAAGCAACACTGCTTCTTTCTTCTCTTTTAATTTATGTGGCTTCATGTTTTAACTTCTTGCATGATTAATTCTTATTATGGAAATTAGCTTGAATTCTTGGGGATTTTTCACATCATTCTTATGGCTCCTGATCTCCAAGCCAACTTCTTTTGCTAATTTCTCTTTCAATTCAATGTATACTTGTGTTTTGGCTTTTGTTATTCATACAGTTAGATACTTCATCTTGTTTAGGATGTAAACCCCAAATAGATTCTACACCTTTGGGAAAGTTTTAAAGTTGTATAATAATATATGTATAATATTATATTATTATGTATTGATAATTCATTTAATTTCTCAAAGTTTAATCTCTGAAAGGACAAAACCTAGGCTACAAACTGTTCTTTTTTTTAAAGCTCACATTAAGTTTTAAGTGGAAAATTGCCACTAGTCCAAGAATGTTTTCTAGCAATAGCAACCCTGACTTTTTAGTATTTGTAAATATGGACATTTGCACTGATGGGGACTTCCACTCAAGATCTTACAGTATTTATGCCTTTTAGAATATTAGAGATTTTGTGTGCTTGGAAAAAAATCTGACTTTTTGATGGGAATTTAACGTATTTTAGTAGGGTTGAAAATTTCTTACAGGAGAACATGCCTATTTGCATACTAATATTTTTGATTTCACTTGAAAGACAGGCCTACATTGCACAGGAACAGTATGTTTTTAATATTGCTGGAGAACTCAAACTCATGTCACATGCAATATTAGGTCCATAGTGCATAAACAGTGAATTTATGACCAAGAGAATCTGAATTTCTCAGCAGAAAAAGGACTTCTCGTTTCCCTTGTACAAAAGTGGGTTTGTTACAATGTAGAATAAGTGGTGAGCAGGATTAATATGACTTTGATTCCTACACACCCCCTTTAAAAGTGCTATTACAAAATCTCTCTACAGTCTCACTTCTGCTTTTTTGGTTGTCCGTTCCTGGGATGAAAAATCTAATGCCTGTTCTATATCATTTTAGTTTGCTAATCCTGATTTTATGGAATCCATTTCGGATGTAGTTGATGAAGTTATACAGAACTGTCCCATTGATGTCCGGCGTCCATTATATAAGGTATGGTCTTCCTGTTGTAAGACTAAATATCAGCATCAGTATCATGAAGCATATGGGTAGCTACTACTTCCCCCACTGTGAGAAACGTGAAATTTTGAATAAAGTTAAATTTGAACAAAATGCCACTTCTGAATGAAGAGTATTTGATATTTGCTGCTTTTTATTTTCAAAAGAAGGGTTATCTGTAACAGTGGCTTGATACATAGGTAAGTTTTTCCCCTGAGGAACTGAGGCAGAGGGATGTTATTTGTATCTGATGTTTGTAATGTGAATTCTTGTGCATGAAGGCCTTTGGCTTTTGCTCATTTTAAGGGTTATGTCATGGTTTCACCCCTCTCACACCCCTCTCCTGCCTGCTTTATCAAGCAGAGATTTCAAAACCATGTATTTTTTTCATAGTCCTGACTTGTATCTGCCCACAGTCTGAAGTTTTAACCAGGTATTGAACCCAGTTTTAAAGTACATGAACATGTAAAATCTTTCAGGAGACAATAATTAGGCCTGCTTAAAGCTTACCCAGGGTGTATTCCAGAGAGTACATTGTCACTGACTCTTTAAGAAAGAGAAAGGAAGGGACTGAAAGGCATAGCCTATGGATAGCTCTCTCTGTATTGGCAGCACATCCAATGCTTCCTGGTTGTTTTTTGCTTCTGCAGCAGCAGTGCCCTGTTGGAAATAACGACATAAAGTAATGGCATGGAATGGTTTACTTGCTCATGTAAAAGATGGTAGTTTTCCTCACCTATTAGAATGACCGTTAAGTTCCAACTAAGTTGTATCTCAGGGTAGTTTATAACTATTAAAATTTTTCAGTCTGTTTTACTTGTCTAGTAAATATACTCTGTAATCTAGAATGAGACATCCTGCTTCAGAGTAAATCTGTGGAGCAGGTTAAAATGGGAAATTAAACTACTCAACAAGCTCATATGGAGTGAATTTTGCAGTGGATGTCTTCAAAGGCTTCAAGTTCAGGTATGTCGCAGAAGATTTTAGGAAACTCTTAGTGTCAGGTTGTGATTTTTTTTTTTCCCTGAAAGACCAAAGCTGCCATAGAGCAATAGCTTCATTGCTTGGTAGGGTATGGATTAGTACTGATTTCCAGAAAGTGGTATTTAAAAATTGAGGTTAAGTTACTCTTTCATCACCATAATCAGTAGGCAATTATTTTTTCTTTGGCTTGCTACTGATTGAGACTTTGTTTTGAGTAAGTAAGTATAATGAAAAAACAATGTAACAAGGTTACACAATTACCTGATGAATGTAACAAGAGATGTCAGTAGTTCTGAATGCTAATAGTTGCTGTCTTGCAAGATCATTGCAAAGGGATGAACACTTCTCATTGTTTAAAACAGTGTATAGGTACAAAAATCCACTCATACTTTCTCTTTGGTTTTGTGGTTTATCAGTTTCACTTGCCCACAGTGCTGCATGGTGGCCAGCCAAAGCCTTGTTTTACAACTCATCTTTTGATGCCCAATGGTATTTGTCTTTTTTAGTTTTATTGCCAGTATCCCTGTTTCCCAGTTTGATCAACATGTCTCTTAGGAGGCCAGTTATCTTACCTTATGTTGATGTTAGGACCAGTAGGACTTCTTCAGCCAGATCCCATAGCCTGGAACTGTTCAATACCATGTACAAACATTCTTTCACACCTGGTGAAGCCTTTTTAATTATATAACAGTTGCCAGCAATGCACTCTTAATTTCCCCTGATTACACCATCTTAATGTGATTGTTTGGAAGAATTGATTTAAATTCTTATTTTGTGCCTCTCAACACTGAGTTGAGAGTTCTGGATTGCTTGGGATGAGCTGTTTTCTGCTAAAATGGAAGAAGATAGGTAGGCTTCTGGGTTTGAAATCATTGCATTGAAATTTGAAGAAATAACATGGATTTTTTTTTTTTTTTATTTTTTTTTTAAAAAACAAACTCAAATCTTCTGAAAGTGGAATTAAATTTAAAGTGGGTGCTCAGATGAAATGATAGAGGAGTAATTCTGGATTTTACCACATGCTTGAAATAATCTGGCACCCTTTCTATGTTGATCATGCCTCTGTGTTGAATTCCACTGAAAAATGACCCGTCATGCACGCAGCTAGAAATGCGATCATACTTTTGAGGGATCGGTGCAGCATTGCATCACTCTTGTCATTCTTTGGGAAGAATGGTGTGTAGTTTGTCTAGTTCTTTTTTTTTCTTTTTGAGAATTTGTCTTCCTTTTTTCTCAAAATATTGTTCTGCAACTTTTCCTTATACTTCTTATATTTATATATATATATATATATATATATATATATATATATATATATAGTATAGCTGATATCACACAAATGCAGAGAAATTAGAGGGAGAGAGCAGTAGCATGATGGGGACTATGCTCTGCAGAAGAATGTGGTCCTTCCCCTGGCTTTCAAGTTACTACGACCATACTACTAAATACAGTGTAAGTAATGCACACCCAGCTTGCATCAGTGGGGAACATCTGCTCTGTGGTGTAGCCACAACAGATGCTAGTGTTGGATGCTTTCAATACTAGCTGCTATTTTAAAATCTCTTTTCAACCTGGAAATGCTCTGAAACTTGTACTAACATTTTGTCAGTTAGGGCATGAGTTTTGACACTTAGTGTCAAAAAAGAGTAGCTGAATTTAACAGTGAATATGGTTATAATAATTTTAAAAGTGGACAGAGGGATTTCAGAATTTCTAAACGGTATTTTCTGTTGGTAACAGGTTCAGAAACTGTCCCTTTTACTCCACACTCTATTTCATCTTTCTTTTTCCCCATCTGGAGTCTCTCCCTAGATACTTCCAGAGTTTAGATGGTAAGAGATGAGAACAGTGCTGACAGCTCTGAGGTCTCTTCCTTCTCCCAGTAGAACAGATAGAAGTGTAGGGTCATTGACTGTCCCAAAAATTGACTTCTTTCAACTTTACTCTGCTGTGTCTTTGGCACAAATATATGGATGAAAGAATTTAAGATCAGTGACATCTGATACTGGGTAAATGCTGCCAGAAATATCTCTGAAAGATCCTAGCCAAGCATATTTAAATATTCATGCTTCAAATCATGATGGATCAAGTAGTAATATCCTTTACCTCAAACTTTTAAGCTAGCTTCCTGAGCTGAAAACTTTGCATGAGGTGGGGACTGTAGTGTATTGGCAAGTGTTGTGTTTTATTATAGATAAATCGTCCAGGTTTTCAATGGAGATGCAGGTGCATGGAGACAGAATTTTGACGTTATTGGCTCTTTTTTCCTTACGGAAGATGACTTTTTATCTGGGTGTGCAGCTGTTGTGCACAATAGTGAATTTGAGCTTGCTGATACAATTAAGATTCAGACTGCACTTTTATCAGTGTTCTCTTGGAAGGTTAAACTGTTGTCTCCCCAGCTCGTAATGAACCATCCTCAAAGCCTGGAGAGATGTGGGAGGCTCAAGGGGTGGTAAACATCCCCCTAACATCTCTTCTAACTTGAATTGCTGGTAAATTGTGTGAAAACAGCTTCCTGTGCGCTGCGTGGTGTGTAGATGGCGCTGTCAGACTGCTGTGCGGCGTCCAGCTGGGCATCTGCGAGCTGCGGAGACAAACACAGCCCATGGTGGTGCCCAGCTTATTTGCTGTATCAACCCCTATTCTTGCCTTTCCTCCCTGAAATCGTAGGTATCCTCAAGAAGAAGACTGGATAGGGTTCAACTGCCTTTTGCTTATCTGTGCTTCAGCATAATGACAACATTTGCTGTTGATTACTAAGCGCAGAGCGGGGAGGCTCTGTGGGTGAGGTAAGGCTGGAGAGGCTGCCAGGCCATGAGATCTGCATCATGTTGGCACTGATGATAAGACCTGGGAAAGGAAAGGTACTCCTGCTACCTCAAGTGGAAGCCCCAAGTAATTAACACTGTTAGTATAGCACAGCAGTACTGAGGAGAAGCCCTGTTTATTCCTGTCACAGCTGTAATTAAATTTATAGCCTTACCCATTCTGGCTGGTTTAACAGCAGCTCAATAGGTCTGCAGTATTTTGTGGTTACTTTTGTGTTTCAGTGCAGGCATACTTCTGTGGAACAGCTTGACCATAAGTCATGCTGAAATCTTTTGCTGTTACTCGAACTGTTAAATGAACTTTGAAAATCGATTTTAAAGAAGCAGAAATTGTTTCTTCATCATTAAAAGTTAAACTTATTTTTAAAAGGTGTTTCTCACAATGCATTCACTTTGTTGTAATGTATTTATTCTTTGATATGTATACTATTTCTCCTTATACTTTCCATGCAATGTTGGCAAATATTGCCCTTTTTTAACTAAATTAAGAGGCATGCAGATTAATTGATTAACTTGCTCATGGAGTGCTTGGCTTCAGCTTGTGAACCTTCCAGTTTTTACCCACAATAATTTTTACTGACAGTCCCGTATTGCTCTCATTACATCTCTGATGGTGTGGTTGTGTCATGTTAAACAACTTGAATTTAGGTTATCATTTGGAAGGAAGGGAAACTGGGATGCATTGTTGAAATTTGTATTTACCAGAAAAGCAGTGGATGCTTCTCAGTTTGGTGCTGCAAAGTCTGCAGTGTCCTGCTGAGAGTGTGCTGATACCATGTTACAAAGTGAGGTGTAAAGATGCACAAACCAGTTCAGCACCTGGTGTTTGGTAGCACTGAGTTCTGCAGAAGCTGATTTAACTTTTTGGAATTTTTATTTAAACTTTATTTAGATAGAGATTTCTGTTACAGTAGTTGGGTTGTTTTGTTAGACAGCTTCATATCTCTGCAGCATACACTGTGCAGGCATAATACAAGAAATGGTATGGGGAGAAACTCAATATCCTAGAGTTCATAAGAAGCAAGGGGTATGGATGAAAGTGAGAAATTTCATGCCAGCCCTCTGAGGTGATTGGTGTGCACACCCCACCTTCCTTCCAGAAATGGAAAAATACTTTCATTATTTATTTGTTGTGGTTAACTTTTTCAGGTGTGTGGAAGGTCTTCATCCTTCTCTTCTAAAGGAATGCATTCTTTTGAAACAACTTAAATTTTCAACTAGTTAGCTATAAAAGTAAAAATCAGCTGGAGCTTCTTTCAGGTGGTATGATGATCAGTGTTGGCTGTGAAATCTGTGGTCTGCTTAGAGCTGCTAAACCAGTGAAGTGAGTTTGAGCAGAGTAAGATCAGAGTAAGTCTTGTTTAAGAATCAGCTGGAAACGTACTTAAATCCTAAATTCCTTAATGTCTTTTTTTGGGAGGCCAGAGAATTCCCAAGCAGGCTGAAAACCCAAACATCACTAGTAAGTTTTCTGCACAGATGTATTTAGCATACTTCATTGTTATGTTTTTCATTAAGTAGTTACTGGAGTTATTGTGTTGTTTTACACTCAGTTATTTTAGATAAGGTATTTTCTGCGGGGTGTGTGTGGTTTCTTGGTTGTTTTTTGGTGTTTGTTTGTTTGGTTTTTTTTATTATTATTTTTTATCTGACCTTTTCCCATCTTCATTGGGTCCTTTGTAAGTGTTGGATGTGTTGGGGGGTGGGGAATGTGTATGGATTCTGCTTTCTTTGTGAATGAAGACTACCTGGCTTCTGACCTGCTGACTTGTGATAACTTACTGAAGCCCATACATGAGCAGTCTTCTGCTAAAGACTTAGCACAGATCTGGCCTAATGCTGACAAGAAGTGCAGGGAGCAGGGGAACTGGAACTGTATAATTAACCATCTTATAATTGCAGTTGGTGTCACCTAGTTACTTATCCAAAATTCTGCTTGGCCTGGCTTGTCCTGATAGGTGATAATGCGATGACTAAACTTTTCAATGAGTGTACTCTAGTGCTTCTGTTCCTCTTGACCAGTATTATTGTTAAACTTATTTCAGTGTATAGAAGTACTTTAATAATCATAATCTGAGGAAGGTGTGACCTCTTAGCTTCTAAGCCTGGAATGATAAAAGATCCTCCTAGTGTTACTTCTAACTCTGTAGTTGCATGAGTTGATCTCAGATGTATTTAAACAATTATTCTCAAGTGTGTTCTGAAATGCGTTTTTAGTGTTTGCATTGTCCACTTTATGGAGTATACTCGAAGTTTAATTTGCTTTGAATAGAATTACTGCTTGCACTGTCTTTGCCAACTTCATTCTCTCCCAGTAATATTTTCTGATGGCATCTTTTTAATTGCTCTTTCATCACTGAGGTTGGTGGTTATATATTAGCAATTTTTTTTTTTTCTCATGTGGAGTGCATGACTACCTTGAGGCAGGGGAAGAGATGTTCTTGTGTATGAGGGGAGCAGGAAGAATCTCCCTCCTACTTTAATTTTAGGACCAACTGTGTTTTCTGGCTCCTTCTTATACATCTGGCTCCTTTCCTCTTCTCTGTCCTCCTCTTTCTTTTGGGAAATGCTTCAGTAATGTTACGGGGCTACGTGCTTTTCTTTTAAGTACACCTGCCTTGTTATGCACTCTTTTATACTGTAGATATCTGAAGCTGTGAAGAAATGAGTTTTTCCTACTGTAATGGATTTAGTGTGCAGAGATTTTTTTTTGTTAATAAACCAACAGCTTTTTTCTCACTTTACAAGTTACAAACAAGATTTTCCTTGTTATCTGTTGCTTAAAATCCAAGCAGTTACTTCTGCACCCTGCAAGTGTGAACGCTTATTATGCAGGTCTTTGACTCTCCAGATCTGTGTGCAGGCTTCCTGACTGAAAACAGTGGTTCGGGGATTCTTTCATTACGTGCACAGTCTTGGTCTGCAGTGTCAAAAACCATTACTGAATGATAATCCTTTGACCTGTGTATACTGAACTCTTGATCTCGGTTGAGTTGCTTGTGGGCATGTGTCTAAGGCATATAAATGGTTTTAGTAGACACTAATTGGCACTTTGGTTTGCAGTTGCAGCAATATGCAAGGGCATGCCTGCAGTTTTGTCACATCGAGTTCATTTTTCTGATTATGAACTGTGTTTTTGCTGCCACCAATGTTATGTTCCAGGGTTCCTGTTTTGAATCCTCTCACCTTTAAAATGATTTCTGTGTTAGTCTATGACCCTGCAACATTATCATAATTAAGGATGTGACATGTTAAAACCCCTATTCAAAATCCAAGTACAAGTCTGAGCTAAGAGGCTTTTGGTTCTGCCTGAAAACTAAGGAATACCAGGCAAGCAGGTGTAGACAAGAGGAATGAAAGGCATTTTATCTTTCTCTGTACTGCAATCCTCTCTGGAGGTGTTGTACTTTTTTGAAGAATCATTGGACTTGCTGTTTTCTATGTTTAGAAGTTTAACTCTTAAAATTAAAAAAAATGAGTTCTAGATAACTTTAGAGCTTTTGCAGAGACACTAATAGTAACATGATGAGGCTGGAGCCTTATTTCATATGAAAGCTAAAACTGCTTACTGTGAGCATCCCTGGGAAACTTCTTGATGTAGTGTCTTATTTGTGCTCACCATTTTAACTGAATCCTGCTCTTCTGTAATAACATATTCTATATAACTCTCTTCTTTAAAGGGGGGGGGAAGAAAGTAGGGGACATGGACCTATGGAAATGAAGCAATGCTTAAGGTGTTCTGTGTAGCTTGTCAGCTTCCTGATGATGTTAAGTTCCAAACAGTCACCTCTGCAGTGTTGGCTTTTGGGAAACTTGCCTGAAGATGGATTTAAAGAATCTGTATTTAATTTCACACAGAATGTGGTCCTCTCAGGAGGATCCACGATGTTCAGGGACTTTGGACGACGACTGCAAAGGGATTTGAAGAGAGTAGTAGATGCGAGATTGCGACTTAGTGAGGAACTCAGTGGTGGTCGGATAAAAGTAAGTAAGCATTTCAAGTACATTAACTGCATGAGTAGTTAAAAAAATAAGGTTCAAGACTTTTACCTCACTAGTGAAAATGCAGTGTTGTAAAGTGAGTAGTATATATGTATGTGTTGTTAAATGTGGTGGTAGCCTTGTGATGTGTGACATGTCTTTACAGGAATCTTAAAGTGACTGTGAGCAGTCTCTAAGGGTAATTCTGGTTTCCTTTCTAGGAGATATGTGATCTTAGCAGTAGGCAAGAGGGTTTTAACTGTTGTGTCCTTCAGCATACTAATCATGAAGACTTTCATGACTTGGTTTCCTAGGGAACATGGCAGACTGTGTAATAAGTGTGAGAGAGCAATGTGAATGGAGGGGCAAAGATGTTTGGGTCTGAGCATGTTCAGTTTGTAAGGATCTTGCCAGAAAATATAGACCAACTAAATACGAACTGTTTTTCTTAGCCCAAGCCAGTTGAAGTTCAAGTGATAACACATCACATGCAGCGTTACGCAGTTTGGTTTGGTGGTTCCATGCTGGCTTCAACAGTAAGTCTTTATCAAAATTGTTCTTAACTTTTTTTATTGCATGTTGTTTTTTGGCTATATTTGATCTGAGTACTAAGTTTTAAACCTTTTCATTGTGACAGCCTAAACTGTGACACATTCTGAAATCCTTACCCAACTTTTATCTCAGTAAAATTTGTACAGGGCAAGTAGAAGCTTTACTTCAATAAGGATGTCATGATTTAACATAAATATGAAGTAGTTTTTATATGATAGTTACAATATAGTTCCTTTATTCTTTAAGTCAGCACTGGGGATTAGTTAGGACTTCAGGAATATAAGATCCAAATCTATGGTCTTAAACCTGAGAGAGAAGCACATACAGGAAAATGAGAGCAATTCCTGTTTCCAAAGTAGGATTTCTTATTGCCGTGTTTAAAAGCAGTCTTCTGTCCAGACAAACTTTTATTGATTAATTGTATTAATATCCTAATGTTTCTAGTTTTTGATCTATTTCAAAAATGTAATACAATATCATAAAGCTGCAACCTACAAAAATGTTAAGGCAGTAGTTTATTTGTCATTTTTTCTACTTGATATATTCTTACGCTTTTGAGGGCATTTGTTTTATATTTTTATAGCCAGAGTTTTTCCAAGTATGTCACACCAAGAAAGACTATGAAGAGTATGGCCCTAGTATTTGTCGTCATAATCCTGTTTTTGGAGTCATGTCATAATGCTCGTCTAACGGAAACAAGATCTCTGATACCTTGCTGGTGAAGAAACTCATGTAAAGCAGAGGAAGGCGGCAGATACTGTAAATACTGAAGCAAGATGTGGTTATCTCTTGGAAGCATTTGGATCACCACCGTGCACTAAAGCACAGCTTGCAGCCCCAGGTCATTTCAGTAAAAGCCATTTCTCTGCTGACTACTTTAAAGCCTATCCTTTCTTCCTAAATGTGGGGTAATTGAAAATAGGTAAGTCTTGGTTTAGGAGGTTGTGCAAATACTACTGAAACTGAATCTAGAAGAATAAGGCAGTGTTTTACTGCTTGTGGAAAGATTTAAACCTTTCCCACTTGTGCCCTGATTTTGCAATCAAATCTTTAGCAATGGAGCACTAAATACCACATTGCCTTCAGGGAAGTTGGAATGGATGCAGATACCTGCCCAAAAGGATTAGATTGCAGGATTGGGACCGTACTTTGTAAAGGTAGGTTTTTCATATCATTTTGTATTTTATGATATTGGTAGGGTGAATTGATGACTAGTTCTAAGCACGAACAGCTATCAATGTCATGGAGTGATGTTACGCATTTCCAGGTGTGAGGCATGTATTGGAGTTGTGCTGGTATTTTTTCTGGAAAAAAAAAAAAAAGCCATGTATGCTAGAAACTGATTTGTTCATGTTTGGATGACACAAACTAAGTGATTTACAGTATTGTATGGAGTTTATTATAGCCACTGTTACTTTGTTCTGAACTTTCTGAAAATGTTTTATAGAAGATGATGTTTTGTTTTGATGTTGGTGAGTGGTGGATGACACACGGGCCTTGCACCAGTGAAATAAAAGCTGTTAACATCTTTATGAATGTTTGCGGTAGTCCTGATTTACATACTCTTCCACTTCATCTCACAAGGTTAGCTTTCCATTTATATGTCAGAGAACGTGGAATCATAGTAACACTGAAGTTGGAAGGGACCTCTGGAGTTTTCTGGTCCAGACTCTTGCTTAGTGCAGGGCTCACTTCAAAGTCAGATCTAGTTGCTCAGGGCCAGTGCAATTTCAATTTTCTGTGAATGGGGGTTTGTGAACATCTGAGCAACCTGTTCCAGGGTTTAACTACCCTATTTTGAGTACATGTTCTTGTGTTACGGGCACAGTGTTTATTCTTCTATGGTTTAAATCTAAATAGAGTAGGAAATCCTAGTTATTCTGTCTGTGCTGATACTTATCTGATCTCTGTCAGCAGAGGTTTTATAACAGTTTGTGTAGCCCAATAAGAATTTTGTAAGACACTTCAAATTGGTTTTAACTGGAACGGAGCGATCGAGACCGAGCAATTATTTGTTCAGCATAAATTAGAAATTAAACAAAATGGGACTCCATGGCTCAAGCCTGGTTCTGAATGCTTTTGAACTTAAAGCTCAGTTCTCAGGAGAAACACACTGAAGCATACTTTGCTTAGTCCTTTCACTAGGAAAGAAATAGATAATCTAATACAATGGGTATTCTTTCAGCTCGTTCCAGTGTTACATCAACTTGTCTGTGTTAAAATCTATGTTTCCAGTTTGTCACTGCACTGCTCGCTACTTAGGCTTTTGGCCTGTACAGCAGAATCGGTAACAATGAGCACAACGTGGCTGGAGTCAGGCTTCAGAGGAAGATTTACTTGTTTAATGCACTGAGCAAGCGTGGACTCAAGTAGTGGCATGCTCACTTGGTGCTATAAAATAGGGTATGCTGGGGCTGTGGCATAGTTACATGTGGCCCGTAACCAGTTTTATCGAGGCATTGGGATATCTTAGAGTTAGCAGGAGGTGGTATTTTTGCTAACCACTTCTGACAAGGCATGGGCACCCTTTTTTGGGGGGGGTAAAAAAAACTTCTTTCAAACAGTAAACAAGACTTGTGTTGAAAACAGATAAGGAAAATGTGTTCATATTCTCTCTTAATAAAAAGCATTAATAGTAAGAATACTAATACAGGATGTTCAAATGTCCTGAAGCTGAGTCTCTCTGTTCTTCAGCTTTTTGGTAGGCTGACCTACTTACTACACTACAGACCCGTGTGAGTTTGAAAACTCGATTGGGTGGAAAAAAAATTCAAGGTGAGATGTCAGAGGGCAGATGCAAATGTGAGTTGTTAGCCCTTTTTCTTCTGTCTTGCTGGCTACTGTTGGGCTAATATAAGCTTGTTGGCAAGTAAGCTTGCCTTTTCACTGACATTTTGTGGATTCCTTGCAAACAGTTAATGAATAAGCACAAGGATCTGTGAACAGCAAGTTGAAGATTGATTCCCTAACCTGCTGTTGCAGGTGCTCACCTGAGAAGGAGCATATGCATTGGATTTGAATCCTCTTGGGCAGAGGAAGGAGTTGAACCCAAGGCTTAAAGCCAGAAGGGCCAGCAGGTATCTATTCTGCCTCCAGACACACACCAATATTTACTGGTGCACTTCTGCAAAGCCTGATTTCTTGAGGAGTACTCTCTCTAAACATAATGCGTCAGGGCAGATTTTTAGAGCCTGGTGAGGATAATAATTTGCTTCTCTAATTGCTTGCTATCGGTGAAGTGGTTGTGGTACTGCTTTGTCCCTGGAGCAGGCTCTGGTGATCACAGAACACTTCTGTGAGAATGACATGCTAATTTTGCAGAAAACTCTTCCTCACTTCTATTTTCCTGAATGCAGCAATCTGTTAGATTAGCTCACCATGCTTGGTGAAATTGCAAGTTTACTGAATAGAACAATGAACCCGGACCTAAACTGATCTTGGGTTTTGCTGCTGGTTGCTTAATGAGACTTGTGAAGTTGATTCCTATGGCTTGTTATTTTTTATTGGCTTGTAAAATGCCTTGAAAATTCATTGTAGAGCACTGTAAAGATCTAGGTCAACAGCACAGCTCCAGTAGTGGGACTGTATGCCAACAGAACACAGGTAAGCTAGACTGCAGCAAGAAGTTCAGTCGGATCTGCATAGTTATAATTGGGGCTTCTGACTTTGTTGAGGGTTTATGGTACCATATGCCCATTAGAAAAGGGGATTACCTGTCCCTACTAACCATGTGTTTTATCCTTGGTTAACTCGATTGAAAAAAGTGGAAGGTACTGTTTCCTGCTACCAATCCTCTGAGTCTTTTCCTTTTCTCAGTAATATTTAAAAGAACTTAAGGCTTTTATGAACCTGAAGAGTATTGCACGTATGTTCGGTGTGGTACTTTCAATTAGCTAAGACTAGTGAAGTCTTGACGTGAACTTCCTGTAAATAATTAATTCTTTATGATCACTGGGTTCTCTCTCATCTGGAAAAATTAATGTTGTGCCAAACAAGTGTTGGAGATGAAACAGGTGAAAAGCTTACTTAAAACCACCAGGGATACTGAGCAGAGGTACGCAGCCTCCTGCTTAATTGAAAAGTACATTGCATAATATTAAAAAGTGCTGCATGGTGGCTGTCAGATAATTACAGGGGATGAAAGCTCAGGTAAAACTATGGCAAAGGAATAGCCAGTTACTTCATTTTCATACGCCGGTCTTCAGCAAGAGCAATTTTGCAAAAGGTAAAAACCCAGAATGTAGCAAAGGGGAGTCTCCATATAATTTTTCAACTTCTTAGGTTTCTTTTCTGCAAGCTAATTGTATGTGATAGATGAAGGGCAGAATAGTATGTATTCACATCTTGCTTCTGTGGCCACTTCTGTTCTTGCTGTTTCACATCTGATGATTCTCCTGTAAACAGGGCCTGACCCAAAGTCATGGGAAAAGACTTCTCTTTGGCGTTATTGGTCCTGTCATGTTCTAGGTTCCTTTCCACTTCTTAGTGCCACCTACCATGTCAGTCTTGATCATACTGCATCTTTTTTGGCAAGCCACTTAATTTCTGTATGATTTTTCCTGGCCTTTTCCTAAGGACTGCCTCTTAGACAATACCTTAACATTTGTCTGTTCTGACATAACTGTCAAATCCTTAGGTGCAGGTATCTGATATAGTCACTTTGGCTTCAAAGAGAGTAGCAGAATTATATCTTGAGGACAGGTCATCTCATCCTAGGATATGCATCTAAAAAAGGATGATTGACTTATACTTTGGCGGTGCTTTCTCCATTCAGTTGACTGTAGAAAAATCTGTGCAGTCTAACACAGATGTTGCATCTGATTCTTAAAGGCTCAGTTAGAGGAAAAAAACCCTAACAAAACCCACCCTGATTTGTGGTCTCTGGGCTCTACAGGCGGTACACACTAAAGCAGTGTGGTTGAGGGAGCAGGCTCGCTGAGGAGGAAGGCTGATGCAGCTCACTGCACTGTACCCATGAAAAGCGGTGAAGGATGAGTGCTATGCTGCTTCACTCGGAGATTTTTTTACCTTAACGTTATTTAGGTTAACAAGCTATGTGGTCCTGCTTCTATGTTCACAACTGTAGTCTAACTGTGCCAACCTGTTACATGTTAGTTATACTTTCCACCTGTTTTTATGAGTGATTTAAGAGTAGATCCTGCAAACTGCAAGGTAAGGGTGTGCTAGCACAGCAGTTTTGGTGTGCCTCAGGAACCACGGAGCATCTCACAGCTGCCATGCTGCGTTCTCACAGCAATCAGCACCAAGCTGCTGTGGGGCAGTGGCTTCCTCATGTGCACCAGCACTTGTCACGTTGTTCAAGAAGGAAATTTTGTCCACTCTATGCGGTGCAGTTTCAGTGGATTCGTGTCTTGCAGCGCTCTCCTGCCAGGCCGATGAAAAGCTCTGGAGCCAGCTGAAGAATGTCTGCTGCCCTCATCTGTTGTTGAAGTAGAGGTCAAGCTAAATCAGGATGTCTGTATTATTTTTCAGCTTTCCCTCTCGTGGAGTTGGGAAGAAGGGGCACTTTGTAATTCTGTAGGGATTTAAATGAAACTCATTTTTTACTGATACATTACAATACAAGCTAGGTGTCATAGTGTGGAGAGGCATGGAGTTCATAAGTACCTGTAAATAATTAAAAAGACTCCCTGTCACCTCTTCTGTTTCTTTAATGCTATTTCCCTTCAAGGTCTCGAGTTCAGGTGATGAACTAGGTTATATTATTAGTCACTGCTTCTTACCTATATTTAGTTTGAAGTTTGGTGCTGCTTTGCTTGTGATCCCAGGAGCCTCTTACATCTTCCCAGTTACATCAGTTGTTCCAAAATTAAAGATTTTGACATTTCGCAACAAATACGGCATCTCATGTTATAAACGAATATATGGAAAATCATGAAGGAATTTTTTCCTCACTTTCAATTTACCTTCCTCTGTAGCTAGAGGAAAGAAGTGACAGGGCTACCAGTAATGGAAGGTGTTTAACACTTTGACTGCCTGGGAAACAATAGGCTGATGTGGATTTGAAAAGTCAGAAAATAGAGGGTATTTATAAGGAATGATGGCCACCACATGGAGTTTGCCCATGTGCATCTTGTATTTGTGATGCCTGTGCAATTATGTGCATCTACACTTTAAGAAGGGCTGCCCTATTATGTCTGTTGTACATCAGTAAATTAAGGAGCGGTGTAGTTTAACTGGGAGGCTGCATTCAACCCGAGCAATTTTCCAGCAGTTTGCTCTGCTATTGTTTTTCTGGCACCCTGTGGGGTAATAACGAGAGTTGCAGCCACTTTTACAAAGGGAAAATTGTTCGCTGCTCTTTGACAGGTGGTAGATACTGTATATGAAAGAGAGATATTTTTAATGCAAAGCTGTATTGCCTGTAATTCAATTTCTACTGGTAATCTGCAGTTTGGTACAGGAGACAGATGCTTTGGGTCAGTTCCAATAAGGGTGTAGTCAAAACAAAATAGAAGATACGTTGCTGAGGTGATGGGCATCTACCTGGCCCTCAGAGTAGCTCCGGAAC